TTTTGTTATAGGTATTATTTGGGGCAAAATAATATTTCACAAAAAGGACTATACTGAAAATATTTCTCAATTAAATATGTTTCAGAAAAGAACACCTACACATAAAAATATGCTTGTCCACCAAAGTAACTGTAATTGAAACAAGATAAGTTTCTTTAGTGATTACTGACAATATCTGACTTCAAATGAAGACATGTCCCAATCAATAGCATAAACAAACATGACACCTGAATGTATGACTATAGTTTTGTGTCTCACAGATATGCTGGGCATGGTGTTGAATAACAAACACATTAGGAATATAAACAATCCAGCAGTGGTTCTCGCCCCTTTGACCATCCCTACACCATTCACATGAGTAATACCCTCTCATCAGCAACATTTTTCATCCGCTGCCGTCATTTTCAACTAGGAGAAGTGGAAGGACCACACTCTGATATGAAGCCACTTTCTCCTCAGCTTGTATGTAATATGAGAAATGGAAAAGGAAGAACAAAGGCATGGAAAATAGGAAAGCACACAGCATGTTAGAGAACCACAAATACTCTACTGGGATTAGAACATAGGGTGGGTTCAGACTTGAAAAGTAGATCTGGGCATGCTAGCCTAAGGGGTTTACTGAACTCAAATGGCAATGGGGCCTCATTACAGGTGACCTGAATATTAATCTGGCAGTTGTACAGAATGATTGGGATTGGGAAAGCATTGGTCTGAGAATGACCATGGCAATGGTCTGTGAAAGTAATGAAGAGCTGATTGAGAATGGTGACAGTAAAAGAAGAAACAAATATAAGAAATAATACACAGAATCTACAGGATTTGGAAACCATCTAAACATACAAAATGACAGATGAACCAAAGATAATTCTGAGCTACAAATCTGCAAGAATGAAAAGAATGCTGGTACTAAATGGAAGAGCATGTCTGCTATACTATATTTGGAAAACAGTAGCCCCAGAGACGTCTAAGAATTTGGTCTGACTGGGGAAGAAAAACTGGAGGTGTTGTAGAGGTTGAGAAATGTTACTGAAAGTAATTCACATAAATGTTTCAGTTGAAGCTATAGGATTAAATGAGGTCTCATAACAGAAAAAAAAATGTAGAAGGGGAAAAAAGAGGACTATAGGAAAATTCATTCACATCAATTCATATTTTTTTTTTCCTCCTTTTTGTCTTTTTTCGTGACCAGCAACGGATTGCAACCCTCAGTGTCATGCCCGTACCGGACCGGGACCGGCAACGGGATTGCAACCCTCGGTGTTGCTCCCGCAACTCGCTCAGCCAGTAAGCGGCCGGTCTGTATGTGGGATCCGAACCCTCAGCGGGAGCGCTGCCACGCTTCCCATGCGGCGCACTGTAGCAGTGCGCCACCGGGCCGGCCCCATCAATTCATATTTTTAAAAAACAAATGTGTACTAAGTACCAACACAGGGCAATGTTCACATTTGGGTGTCAGAAGTGGGTATAAAGTGAAGCAATCAAAAGAATGAAAGGCCAAAGAAGTCAGAACAAAAGGAATGCAGAGAGTTTCAAGTACTAGGGGTACAGTCACACAAAAATATCGAGAAGGATAATAACTCAGAGAAAGATGCTGGGTTTGGGGAAAGATGAGTTGACTTTTCAGAGAGCAGTATCTAAAGGAAATGATGGAAGTGGAAACCAATTTATAAGGGACTAAGAAATAATTGGGTTAAGAATTAGTGGATGGAGAATATGTAGATTATTTTTTCTAAATGCTTGCTCACACTGTCTTTCTTCTGCTCCCTGCTTTCTCTCTTTAAATGCTGGAAAAGACATGAGTGCTTTGGTTGGCAGATGGGGAATTAGTGGAGAAAGAGATTAAAGGTATAAAGGAGACATGATTATTAACAAAACAAGCCCTAAAGAAAGTAAGACTTATTCTTAGGTAAGTGGATAGAGAAAAAGTAGGATAAATGGAGATTTTGAGTTAGAAAGCAGAGAGATATGAGACACAGTGGATGGCAGCTGTCTACCGAAGAAAGTGTAAGATCACAGGCTGAAGTAAGAGGTTATAATTAAACAGTGACTTACAACTTAAATAGTGTTAAGATTTGAAAAACACAGTAGACTTTAGAATTACAAAAAACTTTAGGTTCTTTTTAACACTGATGTTCTATAATTTCAACACTGTTGATCTCATAAAATTAATGTTCATGTTAAAAAATGTTAAAACTGCTGTTTTAGGGCCGGCCCGGTGGCACACTCAGTAGAGTGCGGCGGCGCTCCCACTGAGGGTTCGGATCCCATATAGAGACCAGTCCGCTCACTGGTTGAGCGCGATGCGGGCATGACACCGAGGTTTGCGATCCTGTTACCGGTCACAAAAAAAAAAAAGACAAAAAGGAAAAAAAAAAAAAAAAAACTGCTGTTTTATAGTTATATAGTGCTTTACTTTGATTTTTCACATTTGATTTTTTACTTGAAAGAAGTAAGGTAGGTATTAGCATTCCTACTTTATAGATGAGGAAACTGAAGCATAAAGATATTTTCTCCCAACAAGCAGAATGCTATACTTATTTCATAGGACCACCATAAATTTTAACTATTTTGAAAGCCATATTTTCAAGGTACCTCCAACACCTTATTTTCATGCTCAATGCCCCCAAAACACATCGTCCAGATGAAAGAAAAGGAAGAGAAAGAGTAAAAGTATAGGTTTAGTTAGGCTGCAGATTTAAGGCATATGAATTTTCAGCACTAATATTCTGTCATGCTAAATTAAGGTAAAGCACCCACCATCTGCCTTCATTACTCATAATTTAGAGCAGAAGCCACAACACTTGGTGTGAGGAGGACTTTTCCACAATTACCAAGTTGACTTTTATTAGAAAACTGGTACACTTATAAATCGCATGGTATACTCCAAATCATTCAGGAAAAAAATAGAAATAAATAAGTAGTTATAGTAGTTCCAAGAGAGAGAATATTTGTTCCAATTACTAAATTAAAGAAAAAAAACCAACTCTAACTGCCTATTATAGATAGAAAAAGGCGTTCTAATACAGAGAAAATAAGTCATCTAAGGCAAACATATGGACACAAAACTATCAACCATGTGAATAAAACCTGAATTCCTCAAAGGTCTTGGCTCACTGCAATAGTTTGAATTTTTTATACTGATGTTCTACAGAGTAAAATATTTTCAATTATCAAGAGATTTAATCTTATTCTTATCACTGAATGTCTTTAACAAAGAAGAAACAAACTGAATCACTGACCTGGAATGCCACTATGGTTTTTGAAAGGGCTCCTAAAGAAAGCTCTCCTTCTAATACTATACAGGCACTGAAGTCTACAATTCTTCACCTTTTACAAAACTTCTTAAGAATAACTCCCTTTGAGAGTGCGGTGCTGATAACACCAAGGCCACGGGTTCGGATCCCATATAGGGATGGACGGTTAGCTCACTGAGTGAGCGTGGTGCTGACAACACCAGGTCAAGGGTTAAGATCCCCTTACCGGTCATCTTTAAAAAAAAAAAAGAATAACTCCCTTTAATTCCACCCACTTGACATTTACTGATTTCTTGCTCTGTCATTGCAAAAAACATTGATTTCTCATTCTGGGTTATACTTACTGTCGATTTCTAAAGCTCTTTATTTTAAATAACAATTTAAGCCTTTTTGTAATTTGATGTAAGGAGGAAATGAGAGTACACCAAACTCACTATGTGGTAAATTTTTGTATAAGGCCAGATTAATAAACCGTAAAATCTCTAAGATTTTATGTGAATTTTTGAAAAATAGAAACCCTATATTATATGCTATATAGAGACACAATTTTAAAATATAAATTCAAGTTTAAGATAAGTTTTACTATCTGCAAAAATAACTGAAATGAGTAAGACAAATACTAGCCAATTTCTAAAATATGCTATTCTTTAATAATAAATCTCTGGATGGGGGTCGGCAATTGTCTACTTCACTGAATTTATTTTCATTCCTGGCTACTCAAACGACATATTGAAGAAATTCAAGTTAACAGAACTAACAAATAAATGAAAAAATACTGGGTTAAGAAGAAATTGAATTCAGTGAAAGGCAGGGTTTGACCATATTTTCAACATATGGAATAATAGTTTATACATTAAAACCAACGCACTTGAAGCCTAGTAGCAACATAATCCATTTATAAGAAGGGGGTGAGAATTAAAGACCAGAACAATAATTATTATTAGGCATAAATTTTATATTGAAACTATATTTTTGCAATCTATACTTTTATTTTTTGCTGCTAAGCAGACAGTTCAGTATTAGAAATATTAGAAATGTTAAAACAAAAAGCATTAGAGGATTCTTGCTTTTTTTTTTAAATAAGTGGCTATTGCATTTTTATTAATTAGCTAAAGAATGTATACCCTTTAATTAAAGCTTTAAAAGCATTCTCAAAACACCTAATAATTTAAAAATCATATTAATCTCAATTTCTTATGATGTATATACATTTACATTCCTTTGCTCGATACCATTTCTGTGACTTCCTTTCACTTTCCCTTTAGCAAAAGCATCACTTGTCACAACCTATATAAGAACAAAAAAGCTCATACGCCCAACATTAAGCTCTCTAGTTCAGTGGAAACAGATGAGGTAAAAAAATAAATATAAAAAATAAAAAAAAAACGTTTCTAACTTCTTTGCCGAGTTGGGTTATAAGAGAAAGGATTATCTAGAGAGCTCATACGCCCAACATTAAGCTCTCTAGTTCAGTGGAAACAGATGAGGTAAAAAAATAAAAATAAAAAATAAAAAAAAAACGTTTCTAACTTCTTTGCCGAGTTGGGTTATAAGAGAAAGGATTATCTAGAAAAAATAAAATAACAGGTGTGAAGGAAGATGGTGTTGTTTATTTTAGTTGTTAGTGACAATGTTAAAAATTCCTTTTTTAGTTTCTTTCAACAAAACACTAATTTTCAGAAATATCTATTCTTAACTGAGAAAAGGATATTTACCTTAAATTAAAACAAACGTATAATCTCTTACCTTAGTGACTTTTCTGGATTCAGATTCAATTTCAGATTCTGATTCTGATTCTGATTCAGAATCTGAAGAACTTTCTTCTATTGAACTAGATTCAGCATTGGAAGAATTGGAAGTTTTAGATTTTTCATTTTCCTTCTCCCCATCTTCAGAATCACTACACATAATAACAAATTTTGAAATATCAATTTTAAATCCTTTATATAAACAAATTTAAGCAGATTATATGAAAACAATAAAATGGTTTTAAAATTCCAGAATATATTAATAAAATAATAATAAAAGTGATATTGCCTATAACCAAATAAATTAGAGTCCATTCAAACTCAATTACATTATGTCATACACATTTCAAATGCAAAAAGTCATAAAATAACACTAAATGATATCATCAATAGCAACGCAGAAAATAATTAATATTAAATGCTTGGTTTACCAGGAATTAAGTACTAACAGTAACAACTTCAAGGATACTTATGCTAATTTTAAAATGTTGTCTCAAAATACTGTTTATTAGTAAATTGAAATATTTGTATATCTACTTTTGTCAAAATAGACGTGCATTTTATAGATTTTTCTATCCAAGAAAATTATTTACACAAGTTCCCAAATACAACTTTAAATACCTTAGGTGTGAAAATATTAACCAATTCAAAGAGAATTCTTCTAATGCAGTAAGTCATACTAAAAATGTAAGATAATTAAACATAAACTTTTAAAACACCAAATGATCACATCTAAGTTCTTACTGCTATTCATTCATTTGTTCACTCACTCACTTAACAGATATTTATTGATTATTGACTACTTGTTACCACTATGTTAGGTGCTAAGGATAACAATAGTTAGTAAGATACCAATGATCTGTGTGTCTTCTTTATAGAGTCTACAGTCCATTGCAGGATACAGAGAACTAAGCTGTCAGTGATAATACAGTATGATAAGCAATAAATGAGTAGAGTACAGTGTGTCATGAGAACATAAAGAGGGACACCTAAACAAACTTAACCAAGATTAGGAATGCTTCCTGGAGGAAGAGACACATAAGTTGAAAAATAGAAAAGAGGCAGACAGAGGGGTAGAGAGGCAGTTCTCAAAGGAGAAGGAATAAAGTGAGATGGTCAAATGAGCTTCTCTGGGGATGAGGATGACTTGTGGTGTTTTATATTTTTCTAAAAACTGAAAGTCTCGTTCTTTCTACCACATGCATGTGTGCATTTATTTATTTTTTAAGAATCTACCTTGGGCCAGGCAGTGTTAGGCATTTCATACCATTCATATCAGTTATCTAATTTAGATACACTCTTCCTAGCTACATTATCATCCCATTTACTATAATAAAACCAGTATTTGGGAACGTTAAATAACTTGCTCAAGGACATAAAGACAAGAGGGGCAGAACTGCAATCTGAACTCAAATTTGTCTCACTCCAAGGTCCATATTTTCTCCACTGCACCATAATAAATATTTCCCTTTAAATGAAAATACTGTGAAGTGTAAAATTAAAATTTAGTAATAAATAGTTATGATTACTAAAGCTCATTAAGAGCTTTAAAAAATTATCATACTGGCAAAGTTAAAAAACATTCTAAGAGGCAGAAAAACACAAGGGGGAGGCATAGTGGTGAGGCAAGGGAAGAATCGATGTTTCCCAGAATTGATTTTTGTGGAGGAAATATGATTGCTGTTTATTAAAAATGGAGCCATGGTAACATCTCAGAGCACATGTAATTATATTTGAAGACTAAAAAATATGTTGTTTTTTCCCCCTAGCAGAGAATAGCAATTTATTATCCCTAACTCACTGGTTAAAACATGTACTTAAAAATATAATGTTTAGAATGTATCTGGTATTTTCTTTGTTGTAACAAACAATTCTTTTAAATTTAAACATGGGTAAAACATTTCTGAAGAAAAAATAATGAAACTAATATATGATTTCTAGCATACTGACTTTTGCTATCTGAAAAAGTATTATTACATGCACTGAACAAAACTTTCTACTTTCTAGAAACAAGATATTTTTATAAACCATATCATCATAGATATTCTGATATTAAACGAGAAGTACAGAATTTCTCTCAAAGAAAAGGCTATTACAAACCAAGTAACTCCTTTGCTGCAACAAGTGTATAATTTTAAGTATATTTAACTTCTAGCATTTAAGATAAGATTTAAAAGGTAAAAGTGTTATTTTATTATGCATCACTCAATTTTGATGGTAATTGTTGTTTACCTTACTGCTTAGAGTTTCAGATGTTAATCTAATGAAAAGAATTTACTGGTAACTAGGTTTTTAACTTTGCAATGATGAAAAGCCTGTATTAATTTAACCTACAGATTTCATTTGTTCTGAACAGGAAAAACAATATAAATCACTTTTAAAATCATTAAATCCTGACTTAAATTAATAAAGTCATAATTAGGGCATTATGCTGTGTTTGTTATGGAAGTGGCAGGGCGAGCTGCTTTAATTACTGTCTGTAATAAAAGGAGCAGAGAGCGTACTGCGCTGCAATCAGTGCTGTCAGCCACGGCTGAGCCGAGCTGCAAGCTCATCAAGTGAACGGACAGAGCCCAGGGAAAGGGCCATCATGTCAGCAGAGGCCACTTGCTGACAGCAGTGGGGAAAACAGTCACACAATCCAAGGTATTAGCCCCAATTACTCAAAATTTTAACGACACTTTAATACGTGATAATGTTGTTGATAATAGGAGATTTTTAAAAAGCGCTAATTGTAAAGGGCGCGGAGTCGCTGGAGGGGAGGGGTCCCCATCGGAGGTGATTGAGAGGTGTGGGGGGCTTGGAAAAAGCCGGCTTCGGGGGAAGGAAGCCGAAGGTCCCGAAGGGTCACGCAAAAAGGCCAGGCGCGGGGAGGAGAAAGGAGGCCAGAGAGCAGCTCTTTGATTCCAAGATGGCGACGGGTCTGGAGAGGGGGCGCCAGAAAACAGCGTGAGCCTGAGAAGCGTACGCTGAGCTGCCAGAGTGCTATCTGGATTTCCAAGAGCAACAAAAAATGAATAAGTCTTTCAACAACTAAACTACAACTATAAAAAAAGCAACTACAGACGCGAAGTTTAGGGCCGACACAAAAGAAGATTCCTGAGAGCGCCCAAGCTGCGCTGCCGACCGAGTAAGCAAACCCAGGCGGCAGAGACCAGAGACCAAAGACAGGGTCCATGCCAATGCGGACACGGAGAGATAGCCGCCCGGACTGTCCAGCTCTGTGAGTGACCCACAGCCCAGCCCTGCTTACGAGGCAGACCCCTGTCCGGCTTCTGCCTGCCACATCAGACGAGCCACTGACCCCAGGGCTGCCTCCATTTTCTCGGGTGGGGGCGGAGCCGGCCGGATCAGCCAGGTCTGAATCCCTCACGTGGCTCGGCTCCTCACTGAGCCCTGCCACTTGCTTGACCCGGCGCCGGGCCTTCCAGGGCCTGCGGGCTGGCCTCCTATCCCACTCCCTCCACGGTTCTATGGTGGGGCTGGTGACGTGGGGAGCCCCTGGTCAGCGTCGGGAGACAGGGAAAAGCGGGCCGGGCCAATTGTTACTCCACCGCACCCGGGGTTCTGCCCCCAGTAAACCTCCTGTTGCCGAGAGGCAGATACCACCTCTGCGGCCACCAATTCGGAAAAACGCCTACCCTATTTTTGGTTAGGAAAAGTGTGGTTGGAACGCTCCCGGGCTTACTGGAGCCTGCCAGAGAGCTGAATTTGGGTGGGCGCGGGAGTCAATCTGCGCCGGGGGATTCAAAGAGGAACTGTGTGCTGCAGGCTCCTCCTCCGAGGAGCTCACGCTGAGAAACCCCCACTCAGTGCTACAAAGCCACCCAGAGTGACGGTTAGACTGCGTCCAGGAGAAACCTGAAAGTATTCCTGGGCGGGGCCGAGCTGAGCGGGAGCTTGAGGACACGGCTGACAGACGGGGTTGCAGTAGACAAACCCCAGTTCAGAGAGGGGAGGTGTCCGGTTACGGAGGCGGAGACTCAGCAGGAAAAAACCACACCTTGCGGGCCGCCTGGTAAGATCCAACACCTAGTGTGCAGACTCGGCAGAAAACACACAACCTGTGGGGCCACCACAGCGGGATCCAGCAACCCAGCAGAGTCCAGACTGACCAGAGAGGAGCCTCCC